ATGGCGGGATCGCCGCGGAGAGCGGGGGCGCGGGGTGGGTGGTGATCGGGTTTGGCGGGTTTCGCGCCGCCCGCGGGGCGGGGCACCGCCGCGACGACGCCGTCTTCGCGCAGGACCTTTGGGAGGGCCCGAGGAAGGTGAAAATCACCCCGTCGTCGCCCGCCCGTTTGGCCCCTCCTCAGCCGCCCGCGCTGGTGTTTCACACCTTCAGTCGGTTGGCGCCTCATCGGTACGTCGTCCTCGGCGGGCGCGGCGGCCCGACCGCGGTGAACCCCACCCCGTACCTCCTCGAAACGGCATTTTTGCCCACCGGCGAGGTCGTCGCGCGGTGGACGGCGTTGGGTTCCCTTCCAAAGGATCCCGAACCCGCCGCAACCGGGGAGACGGATCCCTCGGAGGAGGCCGTTCCTCCCCCCTCCGACGACGACGCGCGCGGGCCCTCGGCGCGATACCGCCATACCGCGGTGGTGCTGTCGGAGACGGAAATTTTTGTCTTTGGCGGACGAAACGGCGACGGGGAGTTCCTCGGGGATGGCTGGATCGCGCGCGTGGAGGTCGCCGCGCGGGGGATTCGATGGGATCGCGTCGATTGGACCTCCCCGTCGGGCGGGCCGCCCGCGATGTGCAGCGCCGCCGCCGTCTACGTGGGGAACCCCGCAGCGGTGTTTCTCTCCGGCGGGCTTTTGGCAGATGGCCGGTGTAATGCGAAGCTGTGGGTGCTGAATCCGAGGACGGGGACCTGCCAGGGGCTCGCGTTCCCGATCGGTGCTCGGTTCTCGCACTCGATGACGCCCCTTTCCCTGGCGGTGGGGGAGCGGATTTTGATTTTGGGCGGCTGTGGATCCTCCCCGCGCGCGGAGCTCCCCGCGGCGGCGTTGTGGGATCCTCACACGATGCGGATTACCCCGCTTTCGCTCCCACCAGAGAGCCCGACGTGGGCTCGACATGCTTGCGTTGCCCTCGGCAAAGGGCGGTTGGCGATCGTCGGCGGGGGGTTTACCTGTTTTTCCTTCGGCACCTTTACGGCAAAACCGGCTTTGCTGGAAATCGGGACCGAGGTGGATCCGCTTCCCACGCCAACGACCGTCTTCTCTGGGGTGGAATCCGCATCGAAGCCGCTTTCGACCGGGCGAATCGCGAATGAAACGGGCGCGTACCCCCCTAAGGAGGCCTGGTTAACCTCCCTGCTCGCCCTTCCACGGTCGGTCGTCGAGGAAGTGGAGGGATCCGCCGGGGTGGAGAAAGTTTTGCAGGCGATGCGGGAATGCCGGCGACCGATCGTCCTCCGCGGAGCCTCGTTCGGGCCCTGCGTCGCGCGATGGGCGGATCCGAATTACCTCAAGGCGGCCACCAAGGATGCCGTCGTTTCCGTGCATGTCGCGAAAGGCGCTTATGTACTCGATTTCGTGCGAAAAAATTTCACCTTCCGCCACGTTCCCTTTTCGGATTTGATTCAACACCTGCAGGACGCGACTGCCCACTACCGAGCGCATGGAAACGTTCCCGACGAGTGTTGGTACTTTCGATCCATCGCGACGCATATGAAGACTGAACGAGCGAATCTTTGGGTGGATTTTAAGGCGCTCGGGCGGGATTTTTGCCTTCCAGACGGGATCCGAGAGCAGGTGATGCCGAAAATGCATCAATCCTGTCTGCGCCTCAACGCGGCGCCACTGCAGCTGTGGACGCACTACGATACGATGGAGAACGTCCTCGTGCAAGTGGTCGGTCGCAAACGCGTCGTGTTGTTTCCACCTAACCAGTATGGGAACCTCTACATCTCGGGAAGCTCCTCACCGGTTTTAAATATTGATGCACCGAATTTATCGCAGTACCCCCGCTTCATCGACGCCTGCAAAAATGCGATGGAGGTCATTCTCGGGCCTGGCGATTTGCTGTACTTCCCAGCCAACTGGTACCATCATATCACGACCCTTGTGGAGGAATCCAGTGATGCGCCCCCTTACAGTTTATCTGTGAATGTTTTTTACCGCCGCTTCGATTCCTCTGACTACGATAAAAAGGATTTGTACGGAAATAAGGATCTCCCTGCGGTTGTAGAGCTTCGTCGAAAAATCACAACCCACGTCCGCGAGCTGATCGACAATCAACACTTGAAGGCAGGTGGGGAGCCGCTTTGCCCAGAGTACAAGGAGTTCGCGTTACGACAAGCGCTGCAGGATTTGGAGGGCCTCGCCGACTCCCTTGGAGCTTCTGCAAACCAATAGTGATCGGCGCTCGTGCCCAACCTCTGTTCACCGACGTCAATACCTAGAAAGCACCAAAGAATACAACCGCAATGAATGAAACAAATATAAAGGTGCATTCTTGAAGTGACGAAGGGGGTGGAGAGGGGGAAATAAATAAAGATTGGCGAATTTGAAGGATTAGTGCAATCATTTGCCTCTGTTGTATGAGCTTTGCTCCAGGATGCCTACCCATGCTTATTCTGTTGTGTGAAGGTTTAATTCGTTATCATACTCATTTGTGCACGTTCAGACACAGACAGGTGCATAACTAAGCTATTAATAAATCAAAAATACACCTTATATGATTTTACTTTGATACATTATCAAAGTAGATGTTTCTGGATTTGATATGACAAGGCCCACCCAGATGCAGGAAGGGAGGATGATCAGTCTAAATTCCTAGTCTATCGTACTGTCTTCACTGCTAATTATATGGATCTCTTTTTTCTTTTTATCGGTAAGGGGCATATTTAACTATCTTATCAAATTTAACCTACAGGGGAGCTACCTTTCAGAAAGGATAAAATTGAAAGGAGTAAATCCTATAGTGAAATTCAAGACAAACAACCCATAAGGAATCGATACGATACATAAAAAGATAATAATATTAGTTCACATTACCTTTTACTTCAGACAATTTTCATAATTGACCTTCAAACAGCGCACTTGTCGTAGAGACTTAGAGGAAGTAAATGGTTCAGTCATTCGGAATACATCCACGAAATAGTCCTATGTATGTTCGTCCTATGATTCCTTTCCAAACTCAATCAACAAGTCCATCCAACGTAGGGAAGTTACCGCGTTTCGAGATATCGTACTCGTCGACGATTTTGCTTTTATGGCTTCTGCTTCTGGCGTACGTCTCCTGGTGCTCGGATTACACCTTCGAGGCGTTTACCATTATATTGTTTTCCTCTATTGCACTAACTTCGGAGCATGGTGAAAGTCGTCTTTTGATGCCCCTCGTGTTTCTCTCGGAGTGCTGCTTAGGTCACACCATGAATATTAGACACTCTTCGTTACATTTTTACGCCTCTACGCTGCTTTCTTATTTATCTCTCGCGGCGTGTGGCGGGCTTCGTCGAGTAAATTTTCTTTCTGATCGATCCATATTCTTAAAAACTGGGATGTTTACCCTTGTAGGCCTCGCCGCTTTGTACTTCATTGTGAGCGATAAGGCGATTTCCCTAGGTATAGCGGTCTACGTAGCGGCGGGCTATGCCTTTTTCCTTCGTCTTTGCCCTCACTTGGGTGAAAACGAAGCGGTATTAGTAAGCTCCATCATAGGGTTTTACATCTGCGATGCTTGCACTAACAATAATCTATCCGAAGATGGTGGACGAAGCCTGATTTCCGACTTTAACGCACCCGGTTACCTGACTTCCTACCCCCATGTAGCGGGACGTGGGATGATTTTGAGCTCGATTTACACGATTGCGTGTATGCAGCTTTTCTCGAGGCTGTGGCGGGTGCCGGTCAGCAAAAACTCAAAGTCGTCGGAGTGGCGAGTACGTAGGAAATTGATCACAGCTATCTTTTGGATATCTTGTACGCTTGTAGTCATTGTTTTGTTTGCTGTGATTAGCTATCAATTTCAGGAAAATGTTGCTTTTTGGCTCTATGTGTACATTGTATCAAGCCCATTTCGTTTCTTTACGCTTTTGGCATGGTTTATGTGTATCCCTTTGGCTTTGATATTCGTGCAACTTTTCACGTATGGCCTTCGTAAGGCAGCCCGACGGAAAATGTTTCATTTTATTGCCGTGATCGCCTTCACACCAGCGTCTCTGATAGATCCCCCTTTCATGGCGTTTGCCATCTCAACCGCCATAAGTTTATTCGTGATCATTGAGGTCGCGCGATGTCATGGGGTGTACGGCACGGAGGTGATCACGCGTTTTATTTCAGAATATATTGACGAACGCGATGACATCAAGGGTATTGTGCGCACACATATTTATCTGTTGTTTGGCTTTTGTGTTTCTCAAGTTATTCACTATCGTCATCACCATCAAGCGGTGACGAGACCGATTCCAGCCATCATGGAGCTGTCTATTAACGTCATTCCAGGTATTGTCTCCTTAGGGGTTGTGGATGCGAGCGCCGCGATTATTGGTAGCAGCGTGATGCTAGGCTCCCGTCGTGTTCTGGGGCGCTACTTAAAAAACAAATTTTTCACCGAACGGGCGAATGTTTCCATAGCTCACAAAACAACAACCGGCACTATTGGTGGACTACTATGCGGTATCGTGTTTTGGTGTGTGATTCTGGCGGTTGAGGAGGTGCCGCTTTCGGGACCCGTGTGGTATACCTTCACGATGATTGCAGTTTGCTCGTTAACAGAGTGTTTTATTAACACCATCGATAACTTGCAGATGCCTTTGGTCGTGCTAGGTGCCGTCTATAACTTGTTTGCTATTCTCTTACCTATTCCGGAGCTATGGAAGAATCCGTCCATCAATCATTCAAACCCCACTACGGCAACCTCATTTGCGAGCGCTTTATCATTTCCGTGGAAAAAATAAGGTTGCTCAACAATAAAAGTAAATTCGCCGAACAGTAAATGTTTTTTCCTTCAGAATTTATTAATCCGTGTGTATTCTATGCCACACAGACCACACACACACGCACACATACACGCACGCACACACACCTATGTATGTATATAAATTTATATACGGGTGGGTAAAAAGGGGATAAAAATGAGATAGGCTTTTCCTTTACTTTTTTTCCATGTAGAAATCGTGTAAGTTAAAAGAAAAGAAGTCGGCTATGATATGATTGTTCGACAAGTATGTTTTTCCAATTCGTATTCAGATCGCAGATGCTTACTGACATATGGATAATTAGTAAAGACAATAGGCATTTTCGTATGAAAAATCCACAACTAAGAAGTACTCAAAACTGTGTGATACTAAAATTTATTTATTGTTAATATTAATTTTATTTTCGGTTCCAATTATATTTCAGAATCAACTTATCTTTGTTGATTCGTAAGAGTGAATGTCTTGATTAACTGTGTTAGCCACCAAATACTTTTTTTGCAATTAGACACGAGTTGTACGGGTAACTTTCATTTACTCCCTCATTTTTTCTCACGTGAAGCCACATCTGGGCAGATAGGAACGAATTTTCCCTGTAATGATTCCATTTCTTCTTGTTTTCAAGGCTATTAACTAATCATCATATTATATTCTGCTGGACGGTCAATTTTTTGCTACGAAGCCAATGTCGTCATCAAAGTTTCCGGCGATTAAATCGGCGACGAAGAGACATCCGTTAACTAGCTACTCGCTTTCTTCTTCCGATCGAAAGGAAAAATCGATGCTTCGATGTGCAAAAAAAGCTCGTTCTGCGGCAGCCTTGGATCAGCCGAACGCGTGTTTGTCGGAGTCCTTTTCCTCAATGGCAGATTCAGCGGCAACCAAAACGGTGAATAAAAGACCAGGCACCCAGCACCAGACGGCCTTTGGCCTTTCCATAAAGGGGAGCAGTTTAATGGCGGAAAAAGAGGCGCTTCTCGAGAACTGGAGAAGCTCTATGCTGAGGTACGAAACGGAGCTTCGGGAGCTGGCATCCTGTAGCCCGTCGGAACCCCCAACAGAGTTTCGCATCATTAAGGTACTGCAGTTGTACGACTGCATCACTCGCCGCATTGACGACAGCCTATCTCCCTACCTGGCGGAGCTGCTCCGTCTATTTCGGATTGAGTTTTGCCGTGCAATTTTTTTGCGAAATCGCGTCGATGCGATTGGAACCCCCAATACTTCTCTTGGAGGCGAGGGTGTTGTGGATCCCACGATGGAGGGTGACGTGGTAACCTTTTTCGAGCAGATCAACTCCCTCCTGCATGAAAACGCGCACTTAACGCGTGAGCTGAAAACGAGTGGGGCGGAAGTGAATGCGATAGAGCTGAAGTGTGACGTGGAGCAACTCAAGGGAACCATCAAGCTCTGCGAGAATGAGATCGAGCGCCTGGCTTTGCAGAATTCCCACGTCACGCAGCAGTATTGGGAACTTCAGGATAAAATGGCTGCTGAGAAGGAAGCTCACGCATCCCAGGTGGCCGCCCTGGAGAAGGATCTACGGGCGGTAAGTGTGGAGAACAAAGACCTCCAGCTTCGCCTGTTTCGTCTTCGAAAGGAAGTGACGGACGGCAAAGCGAAGTTTTTAACCGATCACTACCGGCAGCTGAAGAATTCCAAGATGTCTTTCCTCACGACGCTCTTCTCCGAGAGCGATGAGCGGGTGAATCTGCTCGTTCTGCTCAGCCAGTTGGAGTTCCGCCTGAATGAGGTGTTGGATAAGTACGACGATAAATACATCACGAATCACGACGACCGCCCGTTGCAGGTGACGCTTCATTTGGAAATGCAGGAGAATGTGGTGGTGCTTCTCGAGGAGATGCATCTCTGCGTGCAGCAGTACCGACGACTTACCTGTCAGCCCGCGGAGAACAGCTCCCCGGTTGATCCGGCGAATGCGAATCCGCGGCATTCGTTGAATCGATTCTTCCCGAACATGGATATCCCCCCGGACGAGACAGATAGCTTTATGACGATGCTTTTTGATTTTAAAATCTACTACAACTTTCTCGCCCGGGAGATACTTCAACAGCGTTCGACCGGGACTAGGGGCGGGGGAGGGGATTTCGTGTGCAAAAAAAACCCCGACGTTCCTTCCACGGGAGGGCTTCGCGAGGATCCGACGCGGCCGCCTTCGCATCTCTCGGCGGGTTGTGGAACTTATATGACCTCCTCCCCTCTGGATGGGCCCCCGATCGGGCATCGTGAGATCTTTTCGACGCGTCATTTCGACTCACGAGAGACGGATCCGCACGGTGGGGAGGTGAAAGGCCTCCTCGGCGCTATTCCCCGATTCGAACAGGACGGCAGCGAGGAATTAAATCCGAATAGCAAAAATGAATTCATCTTTGCGAGCCGAAATGAGTGGATTGAGCGGATGCTCGGCAGTTTGGGGTCCTCAGGGACCTACGCCGGGCAAACCCCCAGCGGTCTTCGATGGATGCAGCAGAATACGGAGGGGATTATCTCGCCCGATACGCTGCTCCCGCGTCTCCTACGCCGCCCTTTGGAGGATTTATGCCCGCGAAAATTCATCTCCGGCGTCGAAGTCTTCGCCGGTTCCGATCCGATTCAACAAAGGTACCTCTGTAGCGTTCCTCGCGTCGATCCGTCCTCGGCGATTCAGCTTCCACGGTATGCTAATTTTATCAAGCTCAAGTACAAAAGCACCCTGCCTCTGCAGGATGACGCTTATGAGGATCGAGCGGGGGAAAGCGAGGAGATAACGCAGCAGATATCGCTCGATAGTGAACGAAACGACTGCGCCGCGGGTATCAACCGCTCCGGGGATTCCGCCCACCCGCTCAGTCGACCAAACACCGCGACGATGACCTCGCCGAACCTGATGAAGGTGAGATTGCAACACGTGGCAAAACCCCCCCTCCTTACCCAACAATTTAGCAAACAAGCCTCCAAGCAAATTAGCAAGTGGGGACCGAAAAGTCGATTCAAGGAAGAGCAAGAAAACGAGGATGCTAAAGGTGAGGAGGTTTTCAGCTCGCATGATGACTTTCGGGTATTCCGTGAGCTGTGTGAGCGGCCGTTCTCGAAAGGGGTGCCTGGAAAGCTCACCACTCGCACGACGGGCAGCTCCACGACCAGCGTGTTGATTTCCTTTGAAAGGCTGAACCCGCTCTCGCCGAACCGCGCGCCGGAGTGGATGCTTTATCAAACCCTTTTTGGTGGGTTTCGCTCGCTTATCCCACGGATCCTCGATCACGCCGTGATTGATCATATCTTGCTTTGCACGTGTGAGCGGCACTTCACCCGCATGGAGTACCGCTACATGACGTGCCTTAAGGAGTCCGAATCACGAGCGATGAATAGCCAAATGTTGCTCGTCCTCACGGAGCGATTTTTCCGTGAGGCCTATGAGCTTTCGGATTTTCAAAAATCCCTTGTGGATGAGCTAGAGGCCCGTTATTCCTATCCGGAGTTGGTGGCGAAGACTTTTTACGAGATCCTCTGCTTCCTTGACGCCGCCGCCTCACATGACGCGCTGTATAACCTCTATTTAGAGGTCATTCGCGGGTTTGTCTCGCCTACGCATATCCACTTTGCCTGTTATATGCTGTTTAACATGAGCTACAGTTGGCCCTCCGCGGATCCGTATCAGGTTATTACTAAGGATGAGGCCTTAGCGATGTTGCGTTATCTTTACCGTAATGCGGATATCATCGTTCACGTTGACGTGCATGAGGTGCTTGATGATTACGAGCGGATGTCTCGTGCGGCGCCACTGACGTTGAATTATATGCGCAGCTACATCGCTTCGATTATTCTACATCAAGAGGAGACGATGTTGTTGTATCTTCAAGGGTTGTTCCGCTCGTGTTGTATCGCGGAAGACCTCCAGAAGCTGACGTACGATAACTACTCGAGTGTGTTTCTTAAGCACTGGAACGAAAGGTCCACGCAAACTGGAATTGTAAGGTTTTTAACTACCACGCTTGGATTTAACAAGAAGGCGTTCCTGTCGTGCGATGACTTGGCACTCGTGGTCGCCAGTTATTGGGCATCCAACTTACTTTTATAAAAAAAGGCGGTATCTATGTGACTTCGCATGGCCGGAAAATTTTGGTCTATCAGTATGGAACATTCAGTATATTGATATGAATTCTATGTAAACTATTGCATGTCAATAAGCATTATTAATTTCTTATCACATTTTAGGTGAAGTGTAAATTTGCTAAATTATTGCTCCTACGCTTTACCTGTGGCAAACAACTTCAAAAGTGGTGATGTTTTTAAAAGACAAATGATTTGAGTATAAACAATGAAGATAATCTTACTTTGGCGTGTGATCATCTTCTTTTCGCTATCCACATACCTCTTTATAGATTTGCAAATAATTAAACATATCAACGTGTTTAGTTATTTATATTTGCATGTATTTATATCTGAAAAATAAATTTTAAAAAGCTTGCAGCCTGAATACATCCTATAATAAAAAGAAGCCTTTCCATCGAGCCAACACCAATATATACAATGTACAGCAATATTGACCCGAATACCTTTTCCCTACGTCCATACCACCAGCATAAATTCCGCCCTAATGAGCTGAAACCCATCGTTCACAACATATTAGAAACGCGCCTGGAGGAGCAAGAGTACAAGGCTGACGAAATCCAGAGCGTTAGTAAGGAAATTGCGGATATGGTTCGCGAAAAGATTAGGTCTATGGAGCTCGATCGCTACAAGATTCTCGTTCATTGTATGATTGGTGAGCAGCGAGGCCAAGGCCTTCGTGCGGGGTGCAAGATGTTTTGGGATTCGGATACCGACGATTACTTCGAGGAGGTCTTCATGAACAAGCATATCTTTGCAGTAGTAACTGTATTTGGCCTTTATCAATACTAAATATTGGACTAAGGAAGACTTTTTTAGTGGGATTCAATTAAAAAAGCATAAACGCACTACGGCATCTTCCTTTGTCAGACAATGAAACTCATATCGAGGCTTTATTATGTATTATTTGTTTAGCATCGTTTTATTTCATCAAATATCTCAGAGTGTCAGATATAATGAACTCTTAGAAATGTTAAATTCGATTCCCATCGAATTTTTCTCGAATACGGTCTTTTTTATCGTTTTCGGCCCTTTTCCCCATTGAAATAGGAACACCATTCCAAAGGATCTTCTAGTTCGAGTAGGGTGGTAATTCTTTGTCACATTAGTTGTACCACCGCTCTAAAGTCCAGGAGCATGACTCCTGCTGAATTGAATTCCGCGCTTTTCCATAAGCGCTGGTCGGCGCTGCCAGTTGGCTGCTGTGATAGAAATTTTTGGAACCGCCTAGAGTCACTCTGGGCTCCATTCCTCTCCACAGATCCCAGTCCCTTTCAACATGAAGAATTCTTTTCGTTGTGTAGCGCGGGCCGCGACCTGAACGCCGCCGTAGAAAGTATCCGCCCCGAGGTACTCGAAGCTTGTAGTGCGAATAGGGCCCTATTGGATGCCTTTAGCCTATGGAACCCTTTCGCATTGGCGGCGCTTCTTCAGGTTTCGATCAGTACGGTGGTGGAGCAGTTGCTGCTTGCCGTCGAGAAGCGATGGTTGGAGATGCGTTTTGTGGTGTGTTGCGTTTCGTGCGGGTACGACATCACACATTGCACGACGGTTCGAGAGCTCAACGTGGGCGGACCGCGCCGCACGCCAAAGACGTTTCGTTGTCCGATGTGCACCGATTCGACGCCCGTGCACTCCCTAAACGATATTCATGTATTTTTTCGCCTTAAAAACATTTCGTCGATTTTTGTGCGCGAACACTATCGTCTTTTCTGTACCCAAGTCGCCGAAAAGCAAAAATTGGAGTCGATTTACTGCCCGGCGGGGGCGGGGTTCGCGGTGACGCTTCAGCTTCCCGAAGGTCGGTACCTCTTGGTGGCGCCTTTTATCGCAGCCATGCTGGAGCTAGAGGTGACCGTCGGGTTTGACGACTTGCCATCTAAAGAGCGGGCGATTATCCAAACGATTGACCTGAAGAAATACATTTTGGTGCGTGGGTTGGATTCGACGCAAGGGTCGCGATTCGACTTTCGCCAAAAAATGAGCCTACGGTCATCCCACCTCAAGCGAGCGACGATGACTTCCACGAGTATCTCGCAGTTAGGAAATTTTTCCGCGTTCTACTCCGAATGCGTAGCGGGTCGACGCGATCTTCTCACGGCGATACGGTCTTACCCCGTGCGCGCCAGCTTCCGTTCACGCACGAACAGCAACGGCATCGTTTTAGCGGATTACCCCGGAAATATATCAGAGGGTATCGAAGAGGATCACGACGCGTTAATAGAAACCAAACTCCAGTGCTTGAGGTTGAAACACGGCAAGGTTAAGCTGATCTTTTACAACGACACCGCCTCGAGTGGCTTTGTGGATTTATTTGTTTCCTTCGAGCGGTGGGCGGAGTTTACCGCGGAGGTGTACCCCACCCAGCTGAGGGTTTCGGAGTTCATGCATTACGTTCCACGCGGGCTCCGCTCCAAGTTCATGCGGTCCTGCGTCCCTAAGCCCCCAACGACTATCCCGACGGAAGGCATCTTTGTGCGGCACTCATTTGAATTGGGATACAACTATTTTAAAGATCCTTATGTCGTGTCCGTGATCCAAGAAGTCCACCGATACTCCCTGGAAGATCATCATGGCTTACTTCTTACGGTCAGTAATGGGGGCACGATGTATGACTCTTCGTTTCTCTCGATCACGTCTGCAATCGCGAGCAGCATTTGTTTCTTCCAGCGTGTCTTGTTGCGTTTGGGCGATGACGTGGCGCTTTCTATGCGCTGCAGCATCAACAACGCCCCTTTGCATATTACCACTTATCAGGTGCAATACAACGACGTGGATAACATGCGCTCTGCGTACCCTGATATACAGTTCATCGGCCCCGCAATCTATCATAGTTCACACCCGAGTATTATAGCACCCACTTTGTATGCATTCGAGCAGGAGCTGCCGAGGACCGTCGTTAAACAAACCAAATATGCCCACACCGTTCTTAATTTTGACGCCTTTCAACTCAGCGAGGAGGAGCAACAGCGGTTGCTGCTTCTGAATGCCTCCAAGGAAAAGTCAACTATGATTCGTTTCGAAATACGAAATTTTTCTGAGCCTTCTAGTACTGTAGCAGGACCGCCCTCAAGTTTTGCTGCTAAAAAAAGAGATGATATTTTACGATCTCCGTCTAGAAATAACAACTTTGAGGTTTCAGTCCAAGAGCCTCCCTTAAGCGTATCTTTTCAGGAATTCATCGATGAAGTCAACGAGGCTGAAGGTCCCTTGATGGCCACCAACATCGAGAAACACATCAAACTTACTCCCCAGGACTCTGTGTTACCGTACTTCTTAGATTACCTTTGTGAGCATCTCGAGGGCACGACCTTGGTAAAGGAACCCCATGCGTTGGTTATTTTGGTTCCGCTACCCGTTCTGCAAGCCTCCGTGCAGCTCCCCACATTACTAGACAGTTCATGCTACCAGAAGATTTTGCCTGGACCGTTTTAGCACCTTCCTTCTTTACTCGTTTCACCTACATGTTTACATAAGAATGGCAAAAGGCGTGTTGAAGTGAAAGTTATCTATATATTTTTTTTTCGAGTTCCCCTTTTTGGTTATTATTGCTAATATTTTTTTCCCATAACACATGCAGATTTTGTTTTCGGTAAAACTCCGCTTTCTAAGACGGGTAAATATGTAATATAGAATTGCTACAAACTTGATTGAAGGACGTAGTGCATTCAAAAGATGAGCCAATACGGATCCTCAGGGTTACCATGATATTATGATCGTGTGCAATTATTTGGATAGATGTAAAAGAATGGAAGCCCATACGACTTCCCCTCCTTTAAAAAAAAATTTTTTTTCTAGCATCTAATAGTAAGACGAACTCTTTTGTGGCCCTGTGGGAGGGTTCGTTTCACATCTCGGTTCGATAGTTCGATTCTTCTGTGGCGGTAGGCCAACCGGCACGAGGGATGCGCCCTTTCCGGTCTCATCCACGGCGTTTTTTTTTGAATGCCCCGTTCATTCTTCGCGTGCGTTGGCAGTCTTTTATGGGGGCGGCGGGCCCTACCTCATCTCCCTCCCGGGCGGCTTATCAACACCCCCTCGCCCCTCCGGATCCGGCGGCGCGAAATATCCTCCTCCCAAGCTCTTTTCACCGCCTCAGTCGGAAACGCGAGGAGCACCTCCCTGCGGAGGTCCTCCAAAAACGCGCGCAAAAGGCGCTTTTACGTCAACTTCAGCAGGAGGTATTGTGGGAGGGAACGGTTCTTGATGAGCCCGATCATCACCTCGTGCAGCACTTTTTAAAGCTTCATTCAAACCCGCGTTATCGTCAAGCTCGTCGGATGATGGTAGTGGGCGGGCGGGAGATGATTCGCGAGCTCTGTGAGCGAGGCTACTCCCCTAAACACCTCTTAATTACCTCGGGAAAGGAGCTTCCGGAGTGGACGTCGCGGCTTCACGCGACCGATCTCGTGCGGGTGGATCGCCCGATCGCGGAGAAGTGCGCGCCTGGAAATGATGGTTACATCGGCGATTTCGACCTCCCCCCGCCCCCGTTGACGGAGATGTTAATCGCGAATCAACATCGCCTGCGGCGGGTACTCGTGCTCGATAACGTGGACGATCCCGGGGTGCTCGGGGCGATCCTGCGATCCGCGGTGGGGTTTCAATACGACGCGGTCCTCACGACGAATCACTGTGTGGATTTGTACGATCACCGGGTCGTGCGGGCGGCGCGTGGGGTTCATTTTCAAACCGGCGTTCCCATCTACACCCTCAAGGAGGAGGATGGGGATGATGTCTATGGTATGTTAAACCATGTGATTCAGCGGAACGATCTCCTTCCGGTTGCGTTTGCGCCCGAGGAGGATGAAACGGAAGGCGGGACGGGGGGGGGGATCGCCGCGTGCACGCCTGGAGGGTCGACGATGCACTTCCTTTCCAACGTGGTGGGGGCGGCGCCGGTTCCGCTTCCCCGTTCGAAGATCCCATGTGGAATCCGCGATACCCCTTTACGAGAGACGCTTTCGGAGTTTTCCCTTCGCCGTTTTGGCCGGCAAGAGGTCGGTGAGGATCGGGGGTATATGCTGATCGCCGGCCCCAACCACACGCGAGAGATGATGCGGCGGCTATCCCAGCGCGTCGTACGCCCCCTCACGCAGTTACTTCTCGACAGCCTGCCAAGTTCCCCGGATATGTTGATTTCGCTTTCCATCGTGTTGCACGCGTTGCGTCCGTACGGGGACTGGAATTATATGCCGCTGCCCCAGGCGACGGAACCTTCTTCGATGGAGTTGCAAACCCGGCGGGCCTCCGTCGAGATCGGGCCCAACCGTCTCTCGCTGAGCACGCGAAACCTTAATCTGGACGAACGCGCGCAACAACAACTCGCCGATCATCGAAACGAATATCGAAAATGGAAGCGTCTTCACAAAAAGCAGAGGAGCGACTATGAAATGTGGATGGATGCGGAAACCGCTCGTGTCGAGACACTCCTGCATAATGAGAAGGAACGGCGCGTGAATCCGTTTGATCCACGACGACAGCGGACGGCGAACCTGAAAGGGGCAAAGGGCATGCCCAATTGGGTGCCCAACATCATGGATGAATACCGGATGCCGCTGGATCGTGATCGTTTAAGAAAGGAAAGTGAATGGGCAGAAACGTTCACGCGGCCCTCTAATTATATGAATAAAGAAGCAACCAAACGACGTCCCTCTAAGATGTAAAACCTCCTAACGCGGATCTCGTCATTTCCGTTGTGTGCGGTCAGACATTTCGTGATTTGCTTGCGATCCTTTATTGCCAGCTGCACGTTCATAAGGAACGAAGACAAAATCCTAAATTGAAGAGCAGGATATTTCCATTTAAACCGAGTGCGATGATACTTGCCTTGACAACTATATGTGTATATAAATATATGATATCTATCGTGAAAGATACTTCTTGTCTCTGACCTTTTTCAATATTTTGTTGCGGTCAAAGTTTTGGCAGAATCTGAGAGGCGCAGTAGGTCACAAACAACAATAAAGGATGCTTTATTCCATATACATTTTCAACAGATATGGAGATAATATATTTTTCAAGGAATGGAAACGCACACGCTCTCAAAGGGACGGTGAGGCTGGTTTAGTCGCAGGGTTTGTCTATACCCTTCAGCACATCTCGTCTCAGTTATCCACAACAGGAAATGGGGGCTTGCGTGCAGTTGAAACACCGTTATATAAGCTACATTACTACGAAACTCTTACAGGCTACCGTGCCGCACTCTTAACTAAAAAAGAGGTGAATACAGCACTTATTCAGGGTGTTTTGACCGAGCTCTTCCGCGATGTCTTTTCGAACATTGTAACTCGAAACCCATTCTATCGTCATGAGCAAGGATGCATGATAACGGGATCAGAATTTGAGGAAAATTTAGATGCACTTTGTAGAAGAAATAGGCTTCTTTGAGCAAATGTAAAGGAAAAGGCTACCTCAAACATTGTTGGGAATGGAACGGATTCATTTCTCGGGATGCATTTCTGTTGCCCTCGTTTTCTTTGTTGGTTGTGGTTGCGGTGATCCTTTTTAAAATCTTTAGCATCCGTTGCAAAAAAATTAAAAAAATATGTGATGAGCAATTCGTCTCCCTCCTCGGAAGATCTTCAGGCGTGTTTGATGGACACCGTTCTTTCTGCATTCTCAAGTAGTAGTTGGGTGAAACTCTTTCATTTCATTGGGTTGACGATCACGCATCTCTTTGGATGGGGTATCGTCGTTTTTCTTCTTCCTACCTCACCCCCCTCGTATTTTACAAGATACTTCGATCAATAAAGTGGAATGTCCACCTATGATAGTCTTGGGCAGCGAATCGTCACCACCCGTTGCGTCCGGCAGAGCCGTCAAACCGGGTTGTTTCACGCGCTGCTGTACGAAAACGCCCCCTCGTCCTCCGCGGACGCCCACGAGCCGGCTTCAGCGGGGCCTCGGCCGATTATCCTCGTCGTGATCGGCCTCAACGGCCTCGGCCGCGACCCGTCCGGCGCGTGGGGCTTTCCCTTCACGAACGAGGTCACCCTCCTGCGAACGCTGGCCCATCCGAACCTGGTTCACATCCGGGATGTCTTCCTGCACGACGGGGTGGGGTCGGGGTCCCCGCAGGGGG